ATTCATTGATTTTAAAGTCTAAAATAAAAAAAAAAGAAATAAAGTCTAAAGTGAGAAATACTTGAATGTCCAGTACAGGGAGACAATTAACTTATTACCAGCTTGTAAAATAGAATGCCGTAAAGGCATTAAAAACCGTGTTACAGAATAGTGAATTGACCAAAAAGTCTTTATGACATACTGTTTTAGGAGTAAAGCAAGTCACTGATACATATTACAGTATAAATAAAACTCTGCAAGAGAAGTTGTATCTATATAATTATACATAAATAGAAGGAAGTTTAGAAAAATCATTGGCATTATGCAAATGTGGTTGTATTACACATGACTTTTATTTTACTGTTCATATTTATTGGTTTTAGAATTATCTGCAGAATATAAGAAGTTTTTAAAAAATAAACATATAAATTATCTGTAAATTTCTCCTTACTATGGGGAGCTACAAAGCAGACAACAAAACCCAAAATACACAAGGCATGTCTGTACTGGTTTCATTGGCTAATACATTTATATTTTCAACAAGATCTGTGAGTTAGGGAGCAGATGACTATATACTCTGGCCACTCTCGCTTCAGAAGGTTGGTAGACACTGCCATGAGGTCTTTACTTGGATTTTTTCCCCTCCAGATTGTGCATTTTATAGTTGATTTGCTGCAACTGATATAAAATTGACCTTTATTTAAAAGGCAGTTGCAGAGGTTCACTATTCTTATTACTCATACTCTTGTTCATCTGGAACCATGTAGTTCAATATGAGATTTTTATTGTCAAATCAAACTGAAGTTTGAGGCAATTACCTAGAAAATTTAGCCTGAAGACCTGCCCAAACTTTTGACTCTGGAGATCAGACAGACTTAAATAAATTGAGAAGTTGCGTGATATTTGCTTCTTCTACGTAACATAGCTATGACCTTTGTACAATTTATTATCTCATTTTAATTCCATTAAAATAAAATTGCAGTCATAATGGTAAATGCTAAATTCAACAGATAACCACTATGTATTATTAGCTGGCATGGGCCATCAGTCTGTTAATGTCATTCTATCCAGTGATTTTTTTTAATGAGTGGTTTTGAGCCTGGGTAATTTTTTTGCATATCAAGAATGGGTAAAAATTTAAATAATGGATTTAAAGAGTGGTTTTGATTAATAAAAAAAAGAATTCCAAATAATTTGCTAAACCACTGACACAGTATAGTACTTTTATATACTCTATAACATAATAATCTTTAGTTGGCTTAAAAATGATTTTTCTTTTTATTTTTATTACGTACTTTTGAAGAGAAAGGAATACGGCTAAGAATAAAGCTCCTCATGACAAGTATTGGAAGTGAATAATGAAATAAAGAGATACATTTTCAGGTACAGGGGATTTTGAAAATATCACAAAAGAATTTTGAACTGAAACTGTGTGTACTGGTCTACTAAAATAGACAAGCGTATAGTTAATATGGTATCACTGGGTATAAAAAAACCTTGTGATTAGTTGCATAGTTTTAATTATGCTTAAGGAGAAATAGATGTATTAAGTTCTTGCTCTCATTTTTTAGTTAGCAAAGGGAATGTGCTATTTTTATTATTTTTAGTTCTTTAAAATTAGTTTCATATTTTCATTTTACTTTGTTATAATAATAGTATAATAAAATTGTTGTATATTTTATTAATATTTTCATATTCATATACAGACAGAATCGATTTAATATATGAATTCTATTTTGTCAATTAGATAACTATACCATTGATTTACTTATGTGTTCCCTATTAAGGACATATAATTTCCCCTTTTCTTGAAGCTAACTGCAAAACCTAATCTTATGAATAAAACTCTAAGCTTTAGTCTAATGTTTTAGCTATTCTGTTATCAGGTGACCTAATTCTAGGGGAACCAGATTATTATTAAGCATCTACTAGAGAAGCATTTAACTGAGATCATTATGATTTTTAATCTACTATCTATTTAAACATTTAAAACTTAAATGCCCTACAGTCTAAATTTAGTACTATAATGAAATAGATTTTAAAATGATGAATAAGGGGCAAATTATTTAATAAAGTGTAACAACTCGTGTTATCATTAACTTCTTAATCAAATCTGCAAACGCGTACTTAATTAAAATGCTCTTTTTTCTAATTCATAATGCATCTTTGTCTTATCAAAGCATTTCCAGATTTATGCAGTTTATTGAAAGATTTACCTTAAAAACATGCAGTCCTTTGTTGCCTTTGAAAAAGAAATTTAAAAATGCATTAAGAGTTCTTCTGTTGCAACCTTTCTATCTCACCCTTGTCTGTTTTTGCCATAGCATATATCACCTTTTAGTGTATTTTTTTGTGTCTTCCTCCACTGGACTGTAAACTCCAGAGAGGGAGATACTTTCATTTGTGCTATTCACTGATATATCCCAAGTTCCTAGAAAATGTACCTCATATTTAGTCAGAATAAAATAAATAAACAACTCCTGACTTTATCTTGGCCTCTGCTCTCTTTCTTTTTCTATCTGTGTTTTGTATTACTGTATTGGCATTCTATTGTAGGAATTCTCTATATGGTAGTTCTAGAAGCCCCAGTCTTAAAGCATCTATATAGCTAGCAATTCCTAAGGTAATGCAGTGTCAACTTCAACTAGTAATTTTTTCAGTATACATTTATTAGGCTAGTGTGTTCACATTCCCATTCCTGAGCCAATCATGATGATAGGAAAGTCAGGGTGAATCTGAGGAAGTGAGGTTTGAGCAGAAACTTGTATGAAGTGAAGGGCAGCTCATGTAAGTTCCAGGATACTACCATTCCACGCAAGAAAAGGATGACTACAAAGCTATCAAGTGGGAATGATCTTGGCATCTCAGAAGAAAAGCAAAAAATAAGTAAATAAATAATAAGAACAGCAACAACAAAAAAGTCAATGCGGCTACAAAGAAGTGAATACAGATAACTAATTTAGAGAGATAGCCAAGACCCAGTTCATAAAGGATATTAAGCAATGGTTAAGATATTTTCAATTATTCTTAGCATACTAGACAATCATTTGAAGCTTCAGAGCAGGAGATAGACATGATTTTACTTACATTCAAATTATATTGTCCAGGGAGCAGGCATGATGAATAAGGGATAAATAGAGGAATACAACATGTCAGGGGGGCTAGTCAGGGGACTATTACAATGCTAGTTTAGGCAACTGATGAGAGAGACAAGACCAGGGTGGTCTGGTGAGAGAATTGTGGGGAGCTGGGGGTATATTGTGAATGCAGAGCTAGCAGAAATTGCTAATAATTTGAATATGTGTATGTAAGATAAAGAGAATTACTCTTATATTTTACCCCAAACAAATGGGTGGACATTTGTTATAGTTACTGAAATGGAGAACTTTGGAGATGGAGCAAGTTGGAAAATCAAGAGGACTGTTCTAGACTTGTCAAATATGAGATGCATCTTAGAAATCCCAGTTTAAAAAAATTCTTGGGTAATCAATTGGGTAAACTACTTTAGAGGGGTTTGGAACTAAGAGTTTGGAAAACAAGGCCAATGGCATTTTAAGCCATGTGTTTGAGTAATCTAATTCAGGCTACTTCACAGTCACTCGAAGACATGAGCCAAAAAAAAGGCCTCATCATTTTGTAGCTACACCCTCTGGGATACAAGGCCTCCTCAGTCCCTGTGCTGGAGGAAAAGAGAGCTGGAAAAGGTCTCATTGCTGATATTCCATCTTTGAGAACAGAATTGACAGGTGTCCCTTAACCCCCAGCTCTTTGGCCAGGAGCAGGGGCCTGGAAAGTGTAGAGGACAAAATGGAATGTTTGGAGGGCACTAACTACTGTTTCTTATATAATGTTTTACTTATAAGCTGGGAAAATATAAATACAAAAGAAAAAAGCCACCTTAACCAAAATATTAAGATAAGCCCAAGGTATTTTCTGCATTTCTAAAGATAATTTAAATTATTTAGGACTAGGACAAACCCACCTTGAAGTGTCAAGGCAAGGGGTAGTTTGGAGATGGTAGAGCGAGAAGGCTTTATCTTTACACAGTAATCCCTGTTTTTCTCCACCAGCCACCCTCTGCCAGATCTGATGTGGGCAAAGATAACATTTTCTGTTATCTAATGTAAAATAATATGCAAACGAAACTTCTGACTTCATTTCAATCAGAAAACTGCTTATATAACCCTCCTTGGGAAAAATCCTGTCTTTATTTTGCTTATTAGTTTAGTTTGTTCATTAGATTCCACATACAAGTGAAATCATATGGTATTTGTCTTTCTCTGACTGGCTTATGTCACTTACCATAATTTTCTCCAGGGGCTAAGCAATTTTAATATATACCTTTGAGTATATTCCATTTGTTTATGTTAGTTTCTTTCCGCGTATTTACTTAACTAACTTATCCAAAGATTTCAGGTGGCTTATATTAACTCAAAAACTAAAATAAGAAAAAAGTCAATAAAGAAAAAATGAGGTCTATGGCAAGTCTAGGTAGAATAAAAGTTCAAGAAGAAGGGAAGTTTAAAATATAAACTAATAACTGCTGCACATTGTTGAGGATCATATTTACATAGGTAATTTCTCATGAAGTCTATGAGTGGCGAGTAAATGACACTGCAAAGAATGTACGAGCATTAACAGAGGCATTGGAGCTGTTGAAATTTTTATTAAAGAGAAACAACCATACTATCATGTGGTACAGTTAAGCTCTGATTATAAGATGCTAAATTAAAACCAATTTATGCTTAGTTGATTAATTATTCAATCTAAGAAGTACAAGTACTTGGTGATAAATATTTGCATTTGAAAAGTCATAACCAATGGGAAAACTATTTTTATATCAATTTAATATACTAATTGGATGTTAGTAATAAAAATCAGTGTAGTAGCAGCTGCAGAGGCAATTTAATTTGATGGAATTATAATGACAGAGAAAAAAACTGATCACAAAATAAACAGAGTGAAACAGTGCTGAAACCAAAATAGCACAAACTGATCTGTGTTTCTTTGAAAAATTCCAGGTGTTGTCAAGGTGGATTATGGAGACGTGTCAGTCAGAAAGACACTAAGAGAAAATCTGAAGTGCAAGCCCTTTTCTTGGTACCTTGAGAACATCTACCCGGACTCCCAGATCCCCAGGCGTTATTACTCACTTGGTGAGGTATGAATTATTTATTTTGGTTAAGGTATAAATATACTTTGAAAATGGGGTCTGTGGTCATACGACCCTGAATGCGCCCAATCTCATCTGAAAATGAAGCAATCTCTAATAAACTCAATATTTTTAATGTTATGAATGAAATGCTATAAGGGCATTTAAATAGATCTGTTTTAAATGACTTCTTATATATTACAGGGACCATAAACATCTTTATCATTGGGATTTGTAAGTGTATGAGGATAGTTTAAGTGCGAATAAATAGCATTGTCTTGTTTCCTTACCAATAGCTCTGAAACCTGTTGGTTCTATGAATCTTATACTCTTTTTGGAAAAATTAAACTTATTGGGGTGACATAGTTAATAAGATTATATAGGTTTCAAATGCACCTTACTTACAGTCTTAAAATTTATTGTAAACACAAAAGATCTTTTATGCGGGTTCTACTAATATTTACTGTACTGAAACTAAAACTGCTAACCTTAAGACCTATTTCTTAACTCACTAAATTAATGTAATAATTTATTACATGTTAATATAGGTAACATTTTTGAAAAATAATATATTTTCCAGAGCAAACAAATGGTAAGAAGATTAGCATCTTTTATAGTTTTGTAAACTATAGTTGCACTAGTTGCACTAGTGTCTGGCCTAGCAGAAGGCAGCTGTGCCCTTAACCTCTGCTTCGGCGTCCAGTCCCGCTAACACCACACATCATGTGGACTCTGGAGGACTCCTCCAGAGAAGTGAGAAGTACATTCATGAGAAGTGAGAGTGAAAACTGGGGGTGGTGTCTTAGTATTATTACGAAAATGGAAAGTTTTGACTTTCTGGATCCACTGAGAAGTATTCCTTTTCAAAATATATATTATCTTTAGAAATACAAGTTGGCTTTATCATAACTATACAAGTACATATTCATGATATATATTCTGTTGCTTAAAATAAGAATTATTCCTGTATTAATTGTATGCTCCTTTTCATTAATTTCCACCTTAATAGGGATTAGGTTTGGAAATTAAAACAAATTTAATGTTGGTTATAACTAAAGCACTTCAATAGCAATCAAATAATGCATTTGGAAAACAATTATTGATTTTGTTTTTCAGTTGAAATCACCATTTTGTAGAGTACAATATTAGGCTATCTGAAAATTTATAGAGTTTGAGCTAATACGTTTTTGGTTCATTTGCCCCCCCCAAAAATCTGCAACTTTATCCACTCTGTAAATTTTATATAAAAACATAATTTACTTATGATTAACTAGAAAATAATTAAAGAAATAAAAAGACTCAAATTGAATGGACCACTAATGGATTGTTGTGAAAGGGTATTTTCCTTGCCATGTTCATGTACTATTTGACAAATCGCCACTTCCTTAATAGCCATACAAGTATCTCTCTGTAGAATCTTTCAGTTTGCAGATATTTAACCTTAATCTGAATAATGTAATATAAAGATTCATATGCAAAAACACTGAGCATACCACTTTCTGGATGTGATTTAGTCACTAATTAGTCTTGTGCCTTGGGGTGTTATTCACCTTTTCTGTTTGTTTTTTTATGGGGGGATCATTGTCATCATTGTTTTCATATAGGTGTTATCCCAGGTTCCTACTGATGTCACAGGGGTTTATATTCAATATGTAAAATACATGAGAGTGCTTTTTAAACTTAAACACTGTTTGCTTGCTGGTTTTATAATCTAGTTCTACTATAGACTCCAGTAAAATATATAGTGCTTCTATTTCTTTACTGAAAAGTTTGAACAATCAGGAGCCTGCCTGTACCCTTATAAAAAGTGAGGTTTTTTTATTCTTGTAGTAGACTATTTCTCTCATTGTAGTGAATGGGCCCAGCTGATGAGTAAACATTGATAACTTTTTCTAAAAGGAGATACGACCAGAACATATAACAAGACAGATGTGAATTCTCTGGGGCCACCCAGGTGACTCCTGAGAAGGACACAGGCCTCTGAAATGGAACCTAGATGTTTGCTTCCATGTTAAAAATCCAATTTTATGTTTTTCTGCACTACATCAAGGAAATCCTAATTAACTGACTTTTTGAAAAAGTGAAAATAGACTACAGTGTGGAAAAGTTTCTTTGTACAACCTCTTATTTCAATGATCTATCTTCTATAATGGATCAGGTGGCCATATTTTAATTTATAGGAATGGTTTGAAAAGCTTTTAGAGAGACTGTGCCTTTCAGGATTTATGAAACATATCCAGAAGAGGCAGTGTGTTGCACTGAAAAAAATCCCAGGCCTTGGACACAAGCAAAGGAGGGCTTGAGGGTCACTAGGGATCTCTGGCACCTGTCAGTGAGCAGCAAGAAGATAATCATACAGGCTCACAGTGATGATTGAACATAGAGCACCTAGCACCGTGCTGGGCAAGGAGGAGTAGCAGCACCAAGTATCGTAATTATTATTGCTGCCATGTATTGATTTCTCACTATGTCAAACATTGTCCTCATTACTTTATTTTAATTATATCATTTAAAAGTCACAACTACATGACAGTTTCGCTATGATTCTCCACTTGATATGAATACCAACGTAGAAAATTTATGTGAGTGACCTATGAGTCATAGAACTAGCTAACTGTTCAAGTCAGGACTCAGTATGAATTTAGTATGATGCTAAAGCTCCTGTTTTCTCATAACTATACAAAGAAAATGGATTATATGATTGTATTTTATTTATTCAAAATGCTTCTTAATAATGGCTTGAGCTGGAACCTGTATTATATGCCAAGGATGCAAAGTCAAATAAAAGCTTTATTCTTAAGCCATTATGCTGGGTGAGAGGATGGCAGGGGAGAATCAAGGAGCTCAGTAGAAATCAAATTGTTCTACATGAGGTATATAGGCGTGCTATCAACTCCTGTTTCAAAAACCCAACATATTAAAAAAATGATGAGATACAATATTTCCCACTTTCTGAGATATTAATGTACTGTAGTTTTCCACTTTAAAAACCAGTCTTAAAGAGAAGCAATCTAGCAACCGTTTCCATGGAAACAGAAGGACAAATTCACAGAGCAAGGAACACTACTTCCCAATTCAATTTTGCATAGTCACCTATGCATAATTTAAGATGGACCTTTTGATAATGAGTTTGGGATGAACTGTTAATGAACAACAGTTATTTACTTAAAGCTTTTTATGAAGGTAATATCTCATATCCAAGCTACTTACCCAGACAAAAAATTATTTCATTGTAGTATATTCATATGTACTCCTCACTTAATTTCAAATGAAATTGTTAAGATTTAACAATTTATGATTTGCTTAAGTTTCACTATTACTGAAAGCCTGTATATTTAATATGGCAGTGTACTGGTGAATGTACATTTCCCTGTTAATTTTTAAAATCTTCTTAGCTGTACTAGAATTTAAAGGCAAATGTGGTATTTAGTTTCTCATTATGTATTGTCACCAAAATAATCATTAGTAGAATTATTGATGTTAGATGGTCATATCTTAATTTCTTATATTTTCATTTTACTCAGGTAATTGAAATGTTACGTTTCCCAGCTCATGAATTTCATGCAATTTCCAATTGGAAGTTAAAAGCTGTGCAATTGCTTTGAACTAAAACCTTTAAGTAGCTTAATGAAGCATGTGCCTTTTAGACTTGATAAGTAGATCATAATGGAATAAGGAAGTGAAGCTCTTTGCAGCATTAAATTCTCTTCTTAAGTAGCCCCTTAGCTTATGTAGATTTAGTATGCCAGGTTCTGATCTTGTAAATATAAAGGCTAATTCAAGTTTAAGATTGAAAAATCTCATGTTAAAATGTCATTTCAATCTCATTGAAAAATGTCATGTTAATGCACTAATCTCTCACCCCAGATGACAGACCATCATTTTGGGGGAAAAAATGCATCGTGAGCTACATAGGACACAGGTACATCAGATGGCAAGAGGAAGAAGAAGAGGATTTCTGGAGCCAAGTGACTTAACCCTTGGGGCTTAAAATTTGCAGTTCATTGTTGGTGTGATGATGTTTAGACATTATCTATGCATTGCATATTATCTACTTAACCTCAGCACTTCTTTTTCCTCTTGTGTCCCTTAACCATAGCAACTAGTTAAGGGGTTGGCACATATTGCCACCGTGTCCTTACATATTGTTAAAGAGCAAGTTTATGTTACTAAAAATGAACATCTATGAAGCTGCTAGGCTGAAGGGATTCAGGGTATAATCAGTTCCTGCAAATGCAAAAGCTAAAATGCTTAAAGTTTTTCTCTCTCTCTCTGTGGGTAATCAGGAGATTAATCTATTTATAGATTCACAGTCTTCTTGACCCTTTAGTAGAATAACCAAGTAAGAAAGCCTTGTTTTAGACACACAAATGGGGGCATTTTCTCTGCTCATGATTATATTTCCACAACTTTTTGGTACCCAAGCAGCTAATTTTCATGCCAGGGTAACTGAACATGCATATGAGCAGACAGAAGATGCTACTCATCGTTAGTTGTTAACTTTAAAGAAGTTGGGCTGGTTGACTCACCTGTGAGCAAAGCAAGTGGGTTTATTACCTGAAAAATATTTTTAATTCACATTACTGATAATTAGGCTAGAACAAATTCTAATTTTATTACTCAGATATGTATTGGCACAAACAAGTAGAACAAACTATATGCGAGTTAGGCATATACTGAATACTGGATTCATGTTTGTTTTTGTTATTCACCACAATAAGTGAAATTGTTTAATTTCTTATGTTATTTACTTTTTTGGTGAAATGGTATTAAGATATCACATATTCAGAATTTTAAATTGCATAGTCATTAATCAGGGCATTCTACACCAAAGTCAGCTTAGATTTATTAAGCACAGAGATTTTTTCACATATCCCTCTGATTTATTCACAATTTTGCAAAAAGAAAATATGCTTAAATACATGCTCATGTAGCAATTATAATGTGGAAGCATTAATATTTAACTTTGGAATTGACTACAAAGGTGCCTACATGCTTCTTTACAAAGA